TGAAGAATGTGTCAGTGTAGTAAGTGCTGCTACTGGACCCATTAAACACCTGACTGCGGTTGACGGGAACGTGAAATCTCCGTCGACATTAACGAGAAATGAAGTGTCGCCTGATATTGACATCGGCAGTCATACACCCCTAGTCGAAATAGAAGATCCGGATAAAACTGTCACCGTTCCACATAGTCCAGGTGTGGCTGTTCTGAGTGGTGACAAATGGACTCCGGTAAGAAGAAAAAAAATAAGAAGAAAAAGGCTGTAGGCAAAACGCAGCTGGTCAGCAAGACATTGGAAGGGACTTTATCAGAAGAAAAATCCTCACCGCGTGAAAAGACAGATCTCTCTGAGAGATCAGTCATTTTTCATAAGATAAGAGAATCTTCAGACACTGAACCAAAGGCAAGATTTGAACATGATCTCAATCATATTAAGACATCATTAAGTAAACTACTCCCAGATACAGTTTCAGGAGTTAGTATTTGTAAGCTTTATAGAATAGGAAAAAAGGTGGATTCCGAAAGTCCTCAGAAAAACCGCCTCCTAAAGGTTACATTCAACACGGTGGAAGAAAGGAACCTGGTTCTAAGTAATTCACGTAAACTGATTGGGTCCGGAATATATGTCCGTGAGGACCTCAGCCTAGCTGATCGTATTAAGAGAAGGGCTGCAGAAGCGGAAATAAACGAGCGTCGCCGAAATGGTGAAAGAAACCTCGTTCTTAAGGGTTTTCAGATTGTAAAAGTTCGGAGCAAAACGATCCCCAAGCCACTCTGAGTGGCAAGGGAAAGCTCTCCACAGACTTAAAAGTGTGCTACACAAATGCTCGCAGCCTACTAAATAAAATGGCGGAGCTGAAGTCAGTGGTGGATAAAGAAAAACCGGACGTTATCGCTGTCTCGGAAACTTGGTTAACGTCAGAAGTATTAGATAGTGAAATCCAATTGACTGGTTTCATAACCAGTAGGGCTGATAGATTAAACCGAAGGGGAGGCGGGGTTATTGTGTACACGAAAAGTACCCTAACCATAAGATTAGCTGAGACAGTAGCACATGTTTCAGGGACATGTGAACTGGTGAGATGCAAGTTGAAATGCCGAAGGCAAGATATTGAATTAGTTGTAGTTTATCGCAGTCCAGAATGTGTAGCAGATGATTTTCTCCTCAGTAAACTTAAGTCCTGGTGTAACAACGGTAAAAGCCTTCTAGTAGGCGACTTTAATGCACCATATATAAACTGGGTTAACTTAGAAGTAGAGTCATCTATATCGTCGTTCGACTCCAAACTGTTAGAAACCTCGATTGGACTAGCATTATTCCAACACATTAGAGATCCCACAAGGTACGACTTAAGAAACTCTTCTTCTCTTTTAGATTTAGTCTTTACACACGGTGATGACGTTGGTCAAAAGGCTTTTCTCCCACCACTTGGGAGAAGTGACCATGCAGTCATCTTATTCAAATTCATGGCTGAGATTGCTTGTCAAACAATTGCGCCGGCCCGTCCTAACATATGGAAGGCAGATATGCAGGCAATTAACTCCGCAGCATCGGCTGAGAACTGGGAAATTGACTCAAAGGCATCAGTACAAGAGGCATGGACTCTATTCAGACAGTTATACAATCGGGTAACTCAACCATATATACCCTGGACTGTCCCAAAGAAAAAGAAGCACGGACATCCCTGGTTAGGGCGAGATATTCGACGCTTACTAAGACAAAAGAAGAAATGCTGGGATGTTGCCATCCGCCTTGGCACAGCAGGTACGATGGAACGCTACAGATCGATAAGAAAGGTGTGTATAACTAAAATTCGGGAAGCGCAAAGAAAATACGAAATGCAGCTGGCAGAATCTGCACTCAAGCAGCCCAAGAGGATATTCTCGTACATAAACTACAGAACAAGGACTCATCACTGGATTCCCAACCTAATTAAAGCAGGAAGTGAATCTGAAATGATAGAGGAAGATCAGGAAATAGCTGAGATTATGGCTGACTACTTTGGGGCAGTTTTCACTCAGGAACCTCCTCTAGAGAAAGAACCAGACCCAATTACAGAGTCAATAAACCAGCTGCTCACCGTGGACTTCGACCAAAACGATGTGCTTAAGGCTCTTAGCACCCTAAATATGGAGGAGTCAACAGGACCAGATGAACTACACCCTAAAATCTTGAGACATATTGCCCAATATATCGCAGCCCCACTGACTGTGATATTCAAAATGTCACTTGACCAAGGTGTGTTACCTATGGACTGGAAGGACGCAATCGTCACTCCCATACATAAAACTGGTCTACGACAAGTTCCATCAAATTACAGACCCGTAAGCCTCACCAGTGTTGTAATTAAAATACTGGAAGGGATAATCAAACGGACCATAACGGCATTTATGGAAACCAATAACTTGCTGAACATGGCACAACATGGTTTTAGAAAGGGTCTATCCTGTACAACGAACCTCCTTATAGCTAGGGAGCTCTGGATTAATGCACTAGACAACGGAAACTCAGTGGATGTTGTCTACATAGACTTCAGTAAGGCTTTTGACAAGGTGCCAACTAATAGACTGCTATTGAAGTTGGCAAACCTTGGTATTGCCGGACCTCTTTTAAAATGGATTAAGGATTTCCTAGTAGGTCGTAGGCAAAAAGTAAGAATAAATTCCAAGTGCTCCATCTGGAGACCAGTACTTAGTGGAGTACCCCAAGGTTCCGTCCTAGGTCCTTTACTTTTTATAATGTACGTTAATGATCTTACAAGTATAGTACAGTCTCCAATGTTATTATACGCTGACGATGTAAAAATTTGGCGAGTAATAACTGGTGACACAGACGCATTTACTCTTCAAGCGGACTTAAATAATATGATAAACTGGTCTAAAGAGTGGCTAATGCCTATCAACTCGGAAAAGTGTGTCTACATGCACTTGGGGGATTCAAAGGTTAATACGTACAACATAGGGGATGTGTCATTACCCATAGTCCGGTCTCATAAGGACCTAGGGGTGACAGTGAGCAATGATCTTAAGACGACGGCCCATTGCCGGGAGGTCGCAGTTAAGGGGTTTCGAACCCTCTGGGCTTTAAAAAGGACATTCACTAAGCTTGATACTACCATGTTCACCACATTATACATGTAACAGCTCAGGTTGGTTGGCTAAGAGTTGACCCCAAACAACCAAGCTTATGCCAAAACAGTATTGTTCAAGTATTCATTCACTTCCTTATTTTTCATAAGCGTTATATTCCCTATTATCTTGAATGTTGAGAGCCTTTGTTTGTCTGAACAGATAATCCCACGCTCCACTGTGACTGCGCGAAGATCGAAATAAAGACCTATTCACTACTTCTCTGGTTTCTTCTATCAATAGCACGAGGGTTACCTTAAGGCACGAAACTGGTGAGCCCTTTTTGAACACAAATTTAACCTCATTTCTGTTATTAACATTTTTTTTACTTAATCGTAATAGTAGACCTGATTATCCGTAAACTAATTTGAGTATATAACTAGTTTATTCCGTATTGTCTTAAGTTATTCGTGTTATAGTAACCACTTTTTGTGCTAACTTTATTGCTATATTTGTCACATACCTCATGTCAAACTCAATAGAAACCCATAATCTGGAGGATTTGTCACCAGTGGAGATAGACACTGTTATGACTACGAAATCCCGACTTCCAGAATTTGATCGTAGTGATCCTGAGTTGTGGTTTGCTCAACTAGAACATTATTTCACGAGACACAATATCAAATCTGAAGGGATTCGCTATAGAGACTTGTGTTCTATCCTTCCTCCTTCAGTCGCCAAAGAAGTCCGTGACTTGATTTTAAGTCCACCATCACCACAACCATACACCATCTTAAGACGAGAGATAATGAACCGTTTATCATTATCAGATAGTCAAAGAATCCAAAGACTTTTTCAAGGTGAAACACTAGGTGATCGGTCGCCGTCACAGTTTTTACGTCACCTCCAAGTCTTAGTGGGTGATAACACAGTGGGTGAAGCAGTCCTAAAACAAGGATGGATACAAGCTCTCCCATGCTACGTCCAACACTGTTTGGATGCACAGGATCCTGAAACCTCATTATCTCATTTAGCGCGTATAGCCGACAGAATAATGGAAAGAGGTCCTCCAACTGGATCAGGCACAATAAATCACACACAAAAAGTAGAATCAGCAAAAGACCCCGTAATAGAAGGACTCATTGCGAGTGTTAAGAGTCTCACTGAGGCTGTCACCAGAATGCAAATGGGTCATAGAAACAGGAGCAGGTCACCACAACGACCACGATCCAAGTCACAAATGTCCAGACAATCTGGGCAGTTTTGTTGGTACCACTGGAAGTTTGGTGTCAACTCAACCAAGTGCATGCAACCATGCGCCTGGCCTAAGCATAATTCTAAGACAGCGGGAAACGAGTAACCCCTCCCCAGGTCGCGACGACTGAGGAGGGGCGCCTAAACAGTCGCTTGTTTTATGTTAGAGACAGAAACTCGGGCTTGAATTTCTTGGTGGATACTGGCGCTGCTCTTAGCATCATCCCTCAAAACTGATTTCGGACCTAACTTATTCTCTCTCTTTCTTCCCACTAGATCGGGACACCTCAGAGGACATAGCAGGCGAGTAGAAAAGCCAAGAACGAACAAAATACCCCTGGCATACAGGTTTTCACACCGAGTCATCAATACTTGGAACCTGCTGCCTGAAGCAGTGGTATCCGCACCTTCAATTAACTCTTTCAAGAAAAGACTGGACACTCACAGAAGCATACTAGAAAAGGAATAACATAGGCCGTAGGCCTTCTGTCCTTACTACACAAATCTGAATCTGATCTGATAATATACAACTCAAAGAAAAGACTGACTCAAATAAGTATTACCAGCATTATCTGCCAACAGAATTAAGCATAATCTGTTTGTACGGAAGTATTTTTAGAAACGACTAACACAGGTCAATTAATATAGACTTTGGCTGTACTTTGGTTTCAGTGTTTAGCTTTTCAAGGTCATGTATGTTTTCCCTTTACGTCACTTTTAAATTTAGCCTTAAACAGGACTTACTACAATTTTTCTCAGTTAGGAATAAACCTGTTGGACGCTGAACAATTCGCAGATATGAAAAGTATTCTTAAGAATAGAGGTGTGAATAGTAAGTTCTTATATTGTTTTCAGACGTTTGTGCATGGATTACAATTATAATTGGTTCATAAAGAATACTTGTGTAACTCTTTTGATTTATATTCCCAAAAAGAGCTTGAAACATTGCAATCAATAGGAATTTTATTTTTTAACCTTATTACACATTTAAGATGGTGACTTTTGGATACTGTGATTTCTGGTCAATCAAATATCTGTACTTGAACAACGGTTCATGAGCCATAAAATACTACCCTTTGAGTTTCAGTCTTCCATGTGACAGATCATTGTTTCTCGTAAATTAAATTAAGAGGCAAGATGTCAAAAACGTAGTACACAGAAGATTTACTCACATTGTGTACGTTTTTATGACTATATACCTCTTAAGGTATGGTGCGAACAAGTGCTTCTCAATTTGGTTTGTTTTCCCAAATGTTGATACTGAACTGTTGAACCAAAAGTATCTAGACCAAAGTCGTATGCTGCTTTTTTAATTCAAAGTGAAATCAATCAACTATAATGTAATGCGGCAGATGATCTGACCAATTGTTTTAACAACAGAAAAACCAGACTATAATTGTTCCCTGAATGTATTTGTTAGCTTTGATAAGCATAGTTGACGATGGTATTTTTTCTCAAAATGTTCGGTTTTTTTGGTGAAATCAACAAACACTATTAATGTGCAACGAGGACCTGTGTTAATGCTTATGTCACGCAACAACGATTCATATTAAAACCATTATGTATACAAAGTTCGAGATCGTAGCTCATCCTTCAAACTGACAGTTTTGCTGGAACCATTTTTGACACCAAACGACTTATTAGAAAATTTTGAGTCGGTTTTGACTGCAGTCTTAAGAGCGCAGTTACTCAAGATACTGTTAGAATGCTTTCGACTCTTGACGGTTGTCTTCAAGAATTTTATGTTGTCGTTTCCTGAGGGGAAGTTCATTCCTTCAGTTGCGTTAATATAATGTAGCGGAATAGATTTTTGTGAAAGCCATGTAAGTTTTACACTAACTACCTTTATTATCGATCCGATTCCCAAACGTAACTCTTTTCCTGAACTTTTAGCCCCAAATCACTTGAGTTTGGGCTTATTCCAAGTATCAAAGTTTTATTTTGACTGATAAATCTTAGATAGTGTTCTGTTGTTGGTCTTTTTAAAGTTTTAACTGTCTTGCACATAAATTGGAGAGAAGTTACGTAATTTAAACCAAGGATACCAGTGAGTATAACATTGAGATACCATGTTAGTAATATGATATTTTCGTCGTTCTGAACGGTCACTAGTTGTGTGTAACTACGATTCTATTTTTATTTGTCAAGCTTTCAGCGTACAGGCATTCTGTTAGTTGAATAGTTGGGAAAAAGGTTATCAAACGTAACTAGACAACCTATATATTTTATTTATTGTACTAATATACAGGTAGAGTGTTAGAATTATTTGGACGGTGATGTGATTGCTTTTTTGGCTTTCGTTAAACGAACTAATGAGGTTTGAAATCAGAAACAATTCGAGTTATGATTGCGTGGCAAATTTGCAAGGTAATAAACTTTAAAGGCAACTTGGAAATACATCTAAGTAAATTGAATGTGTTAATATTGAATTAGGAATACTATTCTGAGAGAGTTCACTGTATTGTTGAAGTATTAAAAAAGCTTACTAATCTAGACAGTCTATAAAGTATGTGGGTTACATCTTAATAAATAGACGATAGAAACTTACTAAATTACAAATATTATGGTTTACATTCCAAGTTTTATGGTATTAGGTTGTCCATTACTGTTTAGTAATCAATTAGAAATGATATTTAGCAATCTTTTCTGTTGAATGCCAATCACAAACTTGCTTTGGAACTGAATATTTTTCATACAATAAATTTCTGTGAAATTTAATAATCTAATAATGAAGTAAGTTTGATAGCTTAGAGTGAAGTAATTGTTTGGTACAAAATCATAAATTCACTTAACAGAAATGACTCGTCAGTGTGCGTACTGGAGATAGTTAAATTTTATTTAATTCATGAATCAATATAAATGAGATAACCGGTGAAAACATGAAAGCACTGAATGGTCATTTTTTCTGTATATTTTCTGTCTGTTTAATTAGCTTTTGTGTTTGAAGTTTATTTAACTTCCTGACTCATACTCATTTATGATGTGAAATTCCCAATTCTTAAATTGGATGCAGAAAGTTTTATTTACTTTCTAAGTTTCTAACACTCTATTACTTAGTAGGCTGAACATTTTATCATTCCAGTTTAACATCACTGATTCATGAACTTGATTTATGTCGTATGGTTATTAAACACACTTATTATCTAAAGTTGTGATTATAGTGGGTTATACGGAAGTATTTAGGTTTTCTTTTACCAAAATACTGTCCAGTAGATTGGGTATTTTTAAAAAAGTTTTTATATTGAAAGAATAATATTCTCATGTTATTGCAGTGTTTTTCACATAGCTTTTCGCTGTTGAAATTCAAATTCACATCTATGTAACTTATACAGTTACAATATTTGTTAAATGACTGTTTTGCCTAAAGTGGCTAGAGATATTTCTCAACAGTTCATTGGTAGTGAAAAACGCGTACAACCATTTTATGCTGTTTGTATTCTCATTGCTGTAATACTGTTTTCTGGATTGATAATTCATTTTGTCAGCACATATAGTGCCAACAAATTACGAGATAGTTTGCGATGAATTGAATTGCTGTTTATTTAGGTTTTCAGTATTTCTATCGTTATCTATGAAGCTGTGAATGATTGGTTATGAAAATTGATTTTCATGTAATGGATCACAGGCCTAAGTTTGATTCCATTCATTAAGATAGGAACATTTAAGTGATGCAATCATAGACATTAAAAACAGATTAGGTTTATAGCTTGTCGGCAAAGCATCTAATCGTTACTGAATTTCATTCTATCAGTTTTATAATTGGAGTTATCATTCTAAAAGTTAAAGACCATTCAACTGGTGGTATGCCTCTTGAAATAATAGTGCAAAATCTACAGAATTATCATACATCAATAAACTAAACTTCTATTGAGCTTATTTTCAAGTCTATGAGTCGTATAAAGTATTTATCAAATAATTTTTGTTGATGACCGTAATCAGTAAGAAATATGTAGTGCTCATCAGTGACTTGCTATGAGATGAATTATCAAAGTTCTTTCGGGAATTCATGAATGATGAAGTTGATCGTTCTGAAAGTGAGACAGTAATCGCACACAACATTGGATGGTCATCATGTTATATTATTCTTTGGTTAGAATTTAAAATATTCAACTATTGGTCTACATGTATCATACTCACTGCTGGTTGTAATGGTTATCAGTCCTATAAATGTGCGCCGCTCAGGAAATACAACTGAAAATATTTTCCGTATATGTATACATATAAATATTCGTGTATTAGGTTCGGCTCGACCATAAATCACTGTTTCTATGGTTATCTGATTTAAGTTCTACTTTATTTTTTTGTGGTAGTCAGGAGAGACGACAAATAATCACTTATTGAAGTTAACGATGCTCAATAGCTATATCACCAATTAAAAGTACCCATTTAGTATTGATGGTTACGGTTGATATTATTGCTTTTTTACTGTAAATTGTAGTTTAATCTCAGCATCCCTTATGATAGGGTTGCAAATGTGTAATTTAATCACTTCAACCTTTACTGCTCCATCATAAGTTTAAAACTTCATCCAATTTTTTCCATCTTTTTCGTCATGAGCTTGAAAATAAATAACGACAACGAAAGAACATGAGTTCACTTCACTTTTCCAGGTTTTCATCAGCTACTCAGAACCTGTAATTCTTCAAAACCAAATCACGGAAGTAGTGAAAAATTCCTACATAAATGAATTTAGTGATGTAATAAAGATGAACGTAAACTTCAACGATTGATTAAAATATGTTTGCGATTAATGGTGTAATCCAGGATAGATTTCTCATTGAATTTGAAACTGGTTAGCTTGGTATATCTGGATTCCAGAATATTGATATTATCTCTAAGTCTCAAATCTAGCACCTTTCACTTCAAACATCAACTCATTATTTATAGAGTTTAAATAGCTAGTAGGTTAGGTGATAAGTAAACATCGATTCATAAGGGTTCATACTTTTCCATGGTTAACGTTAAAGACTGTAATTGACTAATCTCATTTAAAATATGTTAGAAAATTAATATGTCGTCAGAATCTATACATACTAGCTATACTTAATCAAATAAGATTCATGACATTCAATAATGTGACAATCATAGATTAAAACAAAATTAATGCAACAGACTCATTAACCTATTGTCTATTTTTCACTTTGTACTCAGTTAAGATTCAATTTCCTTTATTCTATCAATTGTTTATTTGTTGCATTAATTTATTCTCACCTATTATAAATTTAATCATTTCTAATGAATAAATGAATGACATAGGTGACATGAAATGGGAGGTAATATTTTAAAACAAAACATAAAGAAAATAATTTGGAAGTGATTTGAACTTTGCCTTGAATATATACATAAATATACTATTGAATTTCAAGTAAATTAATAGTAATAGACTATAAGGTCCAGTGTCCCTTTGGATTTACTATTTTCACCTTCGTAAATTTCATTCTTTTTCAAGATAAAAAGTGGAAAAAGAGGAAGGGGAGCATAGGCGGATTGACTATTTGACTACTTTCTCTCTTATTTTCTATCCATACATACTACTACCATTACTGTTACTTTTGTTAATAATTATTGATGAAAAAATGAATTGGATTGGTCAACTATAATGAATAATTGGTATACAAAGACAAATATAAATTTATTCATTTCATTGTTTGGATACTTAGCGATATATATATTGATAAGTTTAAAACAAATGGTATATTCGCAAAGACTTTGTGTGAGATTTATTCCAGTTTGAAGGTCGGTCATTAATTGACGACACTAGAACGGTGAGAAAAGCGAAGTCATGGTTAGTTTATGATATGAATCAGTGGTAAAAAGGAATGTTATGTAACG